AGTTCTTACCCTGAAGAGCGGTAGTCTGGTTTATGTCTTTCAGAGCGATCTGTGAGAGAGGAGACATAGTATCAGCTCAAAATGTTAATGTTCTTTAGCAACACTAGCACAAAGCCTGAAAGGACTGTCACACCATGCTATTAGATTTAGAAAGACACTGTTCCAAAACAAAAGCTGAATTCTCTCTTTTACAGTACCCTGTTTGTCTGCATTGGATCAGTTTGCCTGAGACACAATAAAGGAGAAGGTTTAATGTTTATTAAAATCCTCTCCTCAAAACACAGCCTTGTGTATGGTTATTCTTTTATGTTATTGTTTAACAAGACTCCCAGCTAATATAGAAAGGACTTCAGGGAAGAAAAACATTGGGAGGGGAGAAGAAAAACCACATATTACTCAGCGCAAAAAAATCATTCCGTGAATCATGGCTGGCAGGGTTCCGACAGGATGGGGAAAAAAAAAAATCAGCAGTTGGCTGCAGCAACATCTGCAAATACACTGAATGCCGTGTGACTCCATCATTAACTCTTTTCATTCCTTGGAGTTTTAGGTGCCATGCAAGGCCTTTTGTTTATTCAGTGAATTATCAGGGATATGAATTTGCTGGCGCCCAACTTGAATGAACAGCCAACTTAAATATAGTCTATTAAGTGCCGTCAAAGGCTTAGCCAAATTGTACAGAAAATACAGTGTGAACCCACATGCATTTTTAAAACACGAATTTTCACCTGTTTGACTTTTCAAAAATTCTTACAAGCAAAGAAGGAATGCATGACACTGGAAAAAGAACAAATATAACTAGCATAAAGCACAGAGTTAGATTTAGTATTCAAGCATAATGAATATTTTATATAATTAAATGTTGTTCTAGTTACAAGAGAAATGTTCTTCCAAAGGCCAAATTGTGAAGGTAATTGAACTCCCTGAAAGAAGTCATGTACTACTGAGATATACACATATTCCAAAGTTTACTTTTCTTAATCTACTTATAATAAAAGGATCCACTTCACGATTAGGATGTTTTTACAGATCTTATTCCAACTGAGCACAGTCATTTTGCTTCGTAGTGCCTGCGTGTGTCTTTCAGGATCACAGGCTCTCTTTTCCTGACACTGAATAACCAATTTCCTAAAATGCCTGATTAGAGATAAGTCAATGAATATCCATATCCATTCCACATTTGGGGATTGTATTAAGAATATTGCATGTGAGCAATAATTTGTTCTCTGGTAGCACAGACAAGCATTTGTGCATAAACTCTTCCATCAGTGGAACTGTTTTCTCATCTCAAAATTGCCTACAGACCTGAAGTGGATAAAACTGATTCTGTCACTAATATCCTCAGAAATGTCTAACGTTTATTCAATTCACAGTTACTCTCTACATCTCACAGTTACCACCACACAGTACATAATCTGTTAAATCTCTGCTATGCTTCACTCTCCATTTCATCATGACTTACCCTACTCAGTTTGCTGGCCAGAAGGAAGAAAATAACATCTGAAACCAGAGCCACAAATAGCGGCTGCTCATATGCACACAGAGGCTTGTTCATTCCATCCTTATCATTTATCCACCTAGCTACCTTACCTGTGGCTATTGAGGAACAGGCAAAAGATCTCTCTTTGTCTAGTTGCCAAAGTTGCTTGTATCGTTTTCCCTGTCATTTATGCAGCCATATAATAGCAACATACCAACAGGACCTTCCAAGTTGGACAACATGAACGTGAGTGTGCCAGTGAGAAAAGAGGAAAAGTCACAGAACATGTAAACAGAATCTGAGAGCTTCCCTCCACAGCTCACTTCTGATTGGAAGATCTACCATGGCCAGTCTTCAAAACTGGAATGTTGTCATTCAGGAAGTTAATATAATTCCCTTCTCCCTTTCACTCTTTGCTGAAGCCGGAAATGCTACAGTTATTCTTGCACATTTTATTTATTGTTTAAATTAGAGACAGAACAGCATCCCTCATTTCTATGCTGGTCTTACAAAAAAAGCCCGAAGAAATGGAATACTTTAAAAGTAGCATATAAATAATTAAAACCTGTATATACTTAAGGTTATATGGCTCATGAAGAAACAAGTTTTGTACAACATCAGTTGTGGCGAGAGACTCAGACATTAAGTCTCTTATTTTGAAAGGGGCCACACATACTACTTTCCAATTTTGTACCTGTAATTTTACAATTTTGGACCCATATTTGACATTGCACATAATTACAAGCCCAATTGCTATCATTTAGATACATAATGATGAGATTTAGAGACTCAAAATAGCAAACTGGTTCTAAAATCTACTGAATACAATGTAAAATGTCAATCCTGTACTTCCTTCTGCAGAAATCTGCACATTGAGTAACAATACCAGACAATGGCTCATAGATTTGGAAGTTGATATCTGATGCCATAAGAAAGAGGAAAAACCCTGTGCTTGCACAAAGAAGCACACTAGATGGAAAGCAAGCTAATTTTGGGGCCGAATGCTTTTTGTCAGCTCCAAGTTTTAAAATAGTTTCTACAGAATTTTAGATGATCAAATACCATTAGAGGTAGAGATCCGTAATTCAGATCTGTTTTAATGGGTTTTCCTCATGCACATACACACCAAAGAAATGATTTGTTTCCTATGAAGTTCCTTCGGATAGCTTTGTAGCAAGATATGAGGTACCTGTCAATTCTACAGCCAAGAATCCAACACCCAGTGAAAAGTTATGCAAAACAAATATTGGGGAAACATGCAAAGCACAAGTTAGTTATAGACTAAATCATACTTGCAATTTTTTTTTAAAGAATATTAAGTGTACATATAAAAGTTGTAACTTTTCACCTTGTCAAGCCAGTGAACCCTGCTACATGGACACAGTTACAACCATATAAAAGTGCTTGTTCCTTGCAGAATCAGTAATAGGCTGTACTTCTATGTGAATATAAGTGTGCCAATCTGACCCTATCTTTATTAAGAAAATCAAATCTAGTATATACATTTATAGGTGAACCTCTCAATGTTTTCTTCAGTTTATAACAATGAGCTTCAAACTTTTAGACCTCCTGGGTGAATTTCTGGCATGACGGACATCAGTAGCAGAACTCCCATCTACTTCAGTGGGGTGAGAATCGCACCTCACAACTGAAGTTAGTTTTATCCCTTCATGAAGTTATTTTTGTCTCTGTTCAGCTTGTTTCTCTTTATTTCAGTTGCATAATGTAGTCATAGCTAACTATTCCCCAGCAAAAAAAACAACACAAGTTCTAACGCTTGTCCAAAGTATTCTCCCCTTTCAGAGTATCAGAAACAAGACACTCAGACAGACTGTATTTAGCTGTCTCTATGCCAGAATACTTGTCTTATACTGGAAGCTGAATCATATTGGACAAATCACTTGCTACTGTGTTTTCACCAGGTTTTGCTTTAACCAGGGTAGGAATTATTCACTTAACTGCTATACAAGAAGAAACCATGCTTCAGACTCCAAGCTTATTATTTCCCACCCAGTGACTGAAAACGTATTTCCTTTAGCCTTGAGATATTATGATGCCTGTGAAAGTAAACTGTTAGAACTGTGCTGCCAACATGTTAATTTTTGTTTCAAATATGTTTAAGCCCTTTTTAAGATACTAGTAGCTTGAAACAGTAACCAAGCGCCATATCACATAAGCTATACCACCATTTAATGTTAAATGTACTGGGCTCTCAATCCAGCAGGCAGCTACTCACAAAAAACTAAAGACTAACTAAATAAAGACCAAGAATTCAATGGTAAGAAAAGCTACACTTCCTACATGTGGTCCCTTGTTACTGTAGAGCAGAGGCACCCAGATGCCACCCTAAATACTGTTAATTTATAATAAAATATTTATGAGCTGTCAGCTTCTACGGGGTGACCAGGACTGCCAATTGTCCATAAATGTATGGACAGTTTGTAAAAAAAACATAGGTGAGCTGAACTGAAGATCCATCACTGGAAAGAAGCTGAGTGGGAACGCAGCTCAGTGACCTGCAGGGAGCTCTCCATTAGGGTTTTGTGGCCCATGGGAGCCTGTGTAGTGCCCCTGCTCCCAGCTACACGCTGCTGCTGTGTCCCATCACCTGCCTGTAATGCCTCTTTGACTTGAAGGTAGGCAGAACCACAAGGCCATGGAGGCACAGGAAAGGCAGTGTGGCTGGACAGAGTTGTGGGCCTGGAAGGAGGGAGAGGCAGTAGGTGGGGGTCTATGCTGGGGTGGGGGTTGGGAGGAGGGACCAGCAGGGGTAAGGCTGGGGGTAGACTCAGGTAGGGGCAGCATGGTGCAAGGTGCAGTCAAGGGTGAGTAGGGAACCCCTGGGGTGGGGGCAGTATAGTCTAAAACCATGGCTGCAGTCAAGTAACAGCCTAGGTTTCATTTAATGTTTAAATTTTTATTTGAGGTCATGTGTTTGTTCCATTTTCCCCTGAAATAAACCCTGTTTTAGTTGAATGTTGCTTGTGAGTGGGAAAGTTTATTCAAATTTTAGGTGGGTGTTCTAATATGTTGTCCTAGATTTTTGGGCGGAGGCTCAAACCAGATTTACAAAGCTGGTGTTAAATTCCTAAATTTGAACCCAGCCCTTGTTATTGTGGTCCAAGGCCTGGGTTAAATTGATATAATGTAAAAGAGGGGTGTCCCAGATGGCCCATGGGCCAGACCTGGCCTGCAGAGCCATATCATCCAGCCCACAGTGAACCCACACACTGCATATGGAGTGTACCAGACTAGCCCCATCTGCTACATAGGAAGGTGGTGCACACAGATAGTCAGCTGCACTTGGGGCTCATCCAGGGTACAAACTGATGGTGTTACCATGCTGCCACTGCACTTCAGGCTGGTTCAAACTGGCTTGAGGACTGGCCCAGTACAATTAGTCTAGCCTCTGGGCCTGATGTGTTTGACACCCTGATGTAAAATATTTGTCAATAAAATTGCGTGTCAGTAAAAAGTTTGTAGGTTTTCTTGGCAATCCTAGAAATGACATAGAAGAGGTGACCCTCCCACAAGCACCCACTCACAAGTAGTCCCAACAGTCACAGCTT